TAAAAATCTCTAAATTCAAGCTAGTAGCCTTTCGTTCAAGATTAGAGAATTATTTGTATAGTTAAGGATGTCAAGCTATCTTAAAAAAAATCAAGATTTCAGAACTGATTTCAATGATAAGATTCATATTCTAGAAAATAACCCCAAAAAGATCAAGAAACTGTAACAAACTCCCACGCAACTCCCTACAAAGTATCACAAATACATCAACAAATCCTAATGTAAACGATGACAACTCAATAAGACTAAAATCAAACAGAAATTTGTCACCTCATTAATAAATAAGGAATGTCAAATATTTCCTTTTAAAATGCTCAACAGAAAATTTATCCCGACAGTTCTGTTTACATTTTCATTTGTCTTTTTTTTCTCGTATGTCAAATGAAAATACAAAAAAAAATTATTTCCACTTCTTTTCCAAGCTTTTAAATGAAATTAAAGGAAAATGTTTATACAGTATTGTAAATTTTTTTGTGTATATAATTTAAATTCTTTTTCGGATTTTCTTAATTAAACAAATGAGATATAAAAATTTTTATTTGCATTATGGATGCTGAAAAATTTTTACGTGTGTGTATGTCTACATTGTCATGTGGTTGATGTTTTTCTTTGCGGTAAAAAGAATGTCCAAACAAATTATTGAGAAAATACTCTTGAGAGAGCATCTTGATCATTTGAGAGCGAGTAGTGCCATAAAATGAGCATGAAAATTTCCTGAGAGCCAAAAAAGCTTCGTTTGAAGATTTTTAATGCTTAAACATTTTCATAAAAATTCTTTTCTTTTCGCAGTAAAAGTGGCGTGGCTGATAAAGATTGATTTTTAATTTTTTGGGATTTATCTGCATGTGATGTTTTATATTAGAGTCGTTAGAATCTATAAAAAGGACCTTTGAAGAAACCGGGCGAGGAGGTTAAGTTGACTTAATTTTTCTCTATGTAAGGTCCTTCCCTAAATAAACCCTTAGTTCAAAATTCAATTTCATTTCCATTCAAACTTTTTAATTCACACCATTTTCGCACAACCCACAAAAGGTAATTTTTCAAGTTATGCAGACCAGAAAATAATTTTAATGACAAAACGTTTCAACCTTATTGTTAAATACGATAAGCTTGACTGTACTTAAATGATTCATAATCCTCAACCTCAAGACCTGTCTTGTAGCTCAATGAAATTCAATATTTTTTTCGAGGTTAATCCTTTGTCTCGGTGTCTTTATGGCTTTAAATGAAATGATACTCAGATGTGTGATTATGGAAATGGAATTAAATCAATTTTCAACTTTGGGTATGCATAAAATTAGTAACGGGATATCTTTTGGTTTGTTTTAATGAAATCAATGATTTTTCATTTAAAAAATTGACCATTTTCTGTTTTCTGCGTAGCTAAAGTTTTTAATAAAAATATTTACATTTGAAATATTGAACTGCTGAACCCTTTTTTTTAAGTTAGGCTCAGTTTATCTCTCATAAATTAATTATTTTAAAGCAATTTTTGATTGAGAAATGCATATTCATTAGATGAACAGTCAGAGTTTTGGTGCTTTTGATTGAACCTTACTATTGAGGTTTGAACGGTTTTTCAGAAATCACAAAGCTTATCATTATTTTTACTAGAAATCTGATCAAGCTGGAACTGAAAGAGAGGAGTGGCCACACATCCGCATATTTTACATCCAAAATATGATCCAGTTCATTAGAAACACTTCTATAACCCAAAATCAATACAAACCGCAGTCAGTTGCAAGAATCAGGATGGAAAGTCAACAATCCAACAAAATCATCATCCATATCCAACTCTTACATGTCTATACATTCTAATAAAAATCGATGTCTAAATTATTCTGTTATCAAATGCTTGCCAAACATCACCACACAATTCATCAACCGAAAAACCGTAAATGCGCCTTATTTAAGCCCTCAAACACATGCTTTTAATCTCCTTTATCTTCTCCACGCAGCATCAGTTGTGCTGAATGTTAAAAAGTAAGAAGAAAATGAATCAGAAATCAGAGAAAAAAAAATTTCAAGAGTTAAACAAATTTTCTTTAAGCTTTCTTCCACTCGATGATTATTTGTTGATAACATTTGATACTGATTTATATTCAGCATTTACCATAGAATAAAAAGAAAATTTTTAATACCTTGGCACCATATTTTCAGACACATGATGATGAATGATGATTTATTATCGCTATGTTGAGATTTTAATTTCTTTAAAATTGCCATTTTCTTTCTCGTTATTGCGACAGATTGACATTATCTTTTAGGTTGAGTGAATTGTTTGAATAATTGCTGAACAGAATGTGTGAAAAAGTTTTGGGGCGATGGGGTTCAATAACTTGTTGAATAAAGACTTTTTTGGGGAGGAATTTAAATAAATAAATTCAATAAAACTTTTTGATACTTTTTGTTGAAAAATTTGAATTTTAAATTGAAAGATGGGATTGATATTAAATCAGTAAATGAATAAAGAGCTTGATCTGTAGCTTCATTTGAAGAGGATGGTAGACTAAATTGAAGTGATTCAGAATTGATCCTAATAAAAGGGAATTGGACCTAATCGAATCCCGCTGGCTAGTCCCTTGGTTCAAGACTATACAGATGTGAGTTTTTTGATGTACAAATTAACCTTAACCTCCTCCTAGTGTATACTATAGAGCATGTTATCTTAGCAGGCGTATACCAAGAAACTCACCTCGCGGAAATCCGAACTTCCAAGTCGTGGTGTTATAAGAAGAGCTTTTTGTACATAAGCCTAAGTTTGAGCTCAAGAATCTGCCAAACGCTCATTCGTTACACAATCATGAGTAAGACACATCATCTAACTTAGAAAAAGTTCAAGACATCCTCAAAATCTGCTTTGAACTCCTATAAAACAAGAAACAATCCACACATTAAAAAATCCAAATTTATCGCAGATACTCAACAAACTTATTCTTCCAACTCTTAGTCTACCCAATAAATTTCCATGACAAAAATCTAAAGCAACCCATTCAACCCTTTCTGATGATCTCTTTAAGCAATTTCCTTCATAACAAAAAAAATTAGATCCAATCGTCTTTAAGCTTAATACACTCAATCAAGTTGAAAATTTTTCTCTTTAAAGTCTGAGTAAACTTCTAAACTATTGAGTCTTACGATTATTGATGCCATCCTTTTCTCTGTTTGATCTTTTTCTTTTTGAATAAATAAATGGAACAAAAAAAAAATGTTTTTCCTTTTCAAATTCTTAGTGGTAATTCGAGGAAATATGCCTTACAAATCTCTTCGATAGAGAATGTGAAAAATATTCAACAATTTAGATATTTTTTTTTGTGTAGACTAAGTTGTAGAATTGATGGAGGAGGAAGAAGAAGGAACCAATTTTCACCCTTTTTAGAGAATAAATAAGTTCATCTTCAAAAGAAAGCTTGGTTTTAAAAATAAGTTTTTGATGTTTATGGATAAATTTTTGGGTTTCCAGGAACAAGACGTGTTATGAAAGCAGTTTGTCTAGAATTTTAAAGATTGGAATTAGTTTCAAGGAATAAAGCAAGGCGTACACACTCAGGAAACTTCAGGAAGTTTTTTGGAGATAATTCCCAAACTTCTAGAACATCTGGAAGTTCATTAAGCGTGGACGCCTTGAAATAAGGTAATTGAAAGAAAGGAGAATCAAAATATATTATCTATTGCCATATGGAACATGCCAAAATAAAAGCAAGACCATTGTGACTGAAACGTTCGCAAAAATGCAACTTTTTCTAGATTGAATGTTCGAATCCCATTATATACTTATATGCTAGTCTTTGCTGTGACCTTGTAATCGAAAGCTTGTTATGCCACTAAGAAGGTCAACCTCAGAAGAAATTGTCAGGCTTCCCAGATCATCATGCTGTAGAATGTAAACAAAATTTAATTTCGACTAGAGTAAAGTATTACTCATTTTTCTCAACACTCGCTATGCCTTTGTAGATTTCTACTCCTAAAAGCGACCAAAATTCTCCTTGCAGTACTTTTAAATTTATGATTGACAGCATTTAAAAAAATTAAAACTTTGCCATACAAAAGCTAACATAACTTAGAAGTTGTTCCTACACATAACACCGTACTTTACTCCAATCCTTAAAAAACTTCGCTTAAAGAACATCGAGACAAGTAAAAAGTTCCATATCCATCCACAGTAAAGTTTCATTTCTAATCGCTCGGAAAAAAATCCAAAATCTTTAAGGAACTAAAAAGAACAAGATGAAGCCGAAGAAAAATAAATAAATTTCATTAAAGACATTCATCTTCTAAAGGGATTTTCGATAAGGATTCCTAAATCTTTCACTAAATTATGTAAGTAAGCTGTTCAGCAAGGTAAATTGCTGAAAAATGTCATCAATGAAAGTGAAAAGTGGGAAGTGGAAATGAGATCCTTTAAACAATTTATATGCGTAATATATCTTTTACAGAATGTTGTAACTGAATACTTTATAACTCAAATCAAACTTTAATTTTCGGATTCGTAATTGCTTAATTAATTAAAGTGAGCACTTTTTGTCCATCACAATAATTGAATTTAAATTGAAGGTTAAGGTGGGAAGTTTGTGGAGCTGATGAAGGTGGGTTCTTAGAAGGAATGCAATTTGTTTTTTTTTGCTTGATGCATTTTTAAATGACTTATCGGGATCTTATCAGGATTAATATAGGATATTTGATGTCTTTTCCTAGCCACCTCAAAAAGTTTGTAATTTCAAAAGTATTTAACCAACCAATTCTCTTGCATTTCATTGCTAAGCACAAAAACTCCATACCCTACACAATTATTATTATTTTTATTTATTATTGTACTTTTGTCAAAGTAAAAAGCCGATTTAAATGCACAACACATCTCTGGCATTTAAAACCAGTGTCAATTAACCTTAAAGCCTCATTTAATCCACAAAAGGCACACCACAAAAGCTCAATAAAGAACAAAAATAGAAGTACACGGCAAATTTACCTACATGTATTTAATCATTATAATTATTGTGCTAATGTGCTATTCAAGAAACTCATTATCCGCACACAAGCATACTTTCATGTCTCAACACATGCACACATCCCCAACACCATGCAAAATGACTAAATGTGAGTTTTAATTGTGTAACTAATTAATTTAATTACGTCTTCAAAATAACAAAGTAATTATGTTCTTGCTTGTTGACGGTGTTTGTGCCATTATTGGCTGAAATCTTTACCAACCTTAATTTACGGTTTTTGTAGGTTAGGAATTACCTTATCATCAGAAAAAGGGGATGCTTAAAGTTTTTCCCTTGAACAAGATTACACGACTAATTTGATTCTTCTTTACTTCTTTCTCTGTCTACATCTTTTTTTTGCTTGTTCAGTTCCTCATAATACCTGTAATCATAAAAGGTAAATTATTCCTCTTTTTACTAGCTACTTGTCGAAAATTAAATTTATTTACTTGTTGATTCCTTTGAAGACTAATTTTATCTAATAAATAAAATCTTTTGTAAAGTAACAAAAAAGGTAAATTGTTGCTAAATTCTATAATAATGACGGTCTAGGTAACGAGGCATAATATCTGAACTTATTTGGATACTCCTCCTCGTTGAGATTTACAGCAATATCATTTGTATAAATTCTTTCGGCATTTTACTGCCGCTGTTGTCAAAGATAATGACTTGAGAGAATTTCGGTTAAATGAATGTCAATTTGGGACATTTGATGAATTCTCAAGTATCATTGTTACAAAATGGTTTGCTTCCTTTTCCTTTAGGATCTATTTATAGTTGGTCCTTCTGTTTCCCGAGCGACAATGAAAGACAAGTTTACTATTATGGATGCTGTCCATCTGCTCACTTTTGAGCAGGACAGTCAAGGTTTTTGAACAAAATCGGGTGTAAAAATCCTTAAAGTCCCGTTTTTTCAGAGATGAAATCAGGACATGTCCCGCTTTTGACCAAAAATGGCTAACACCGTCTACTATTGTGTTGTAATCAATGGTCATAAAAAGTCAGAATATCAGTTTCCCACGCTTGGTTGCAATTAATGCAACAGGGAATACATGGCAACCATTCTGATGGACTAATCAGATTTACATTACGACTCAACCTTAGCAATTTGGAAGCTACTATTGCCTGAGTCGTTCTGATCAACTATTTTATGTTTGTATATTCGCAATCCTATCTCTAAGTTCACACTTCAAATGTCTGTCTGTTGGTTGGGAGGTTTACCTGTCTGCCGGTAAGTCTGCATCAAAAGACTAGTTTTCTATTCACTTAATTCATCATCATGCTTTCCAATCTTTTTAAAACCTTTATTCGTCGTTCTTTTTAATCCTTTCTGTTCAATTATAATCAATTCCATTCAATTCATTGTTGACAGAAAAAATCTCAATAAATGGATTTTTATTTATTTACAAAACACCCTCGTTCAATTTATATTAAAAAATTATTTATAGATCTGAATTGTATTTTCCTCAATTGAATGAGAAGAATCGACCTAATCGACGTCAAAAATCGCAGAAGGACGAGAAATTTTCTTCCTTTAAAATAGACATCACATCTTCTTGTTCATAAATGTCTAGAATTCAATGTCATTTTAGATGGAATTTATAGACGAGTAAAAGGAAGGACAATTTTGAAGGTACGGAAAATGTGAGTGGCATATCAAATTAGTTGTGGAAAGTTTTAATGTGGTTAGATTGGATGGAAGAAGAAGAATTTGTCAGATTTTTGACGAAACTTTGATTAATTTTGAAGTGAGGATGGAGATTCGAGGAACTCAATCAATTTGTTCTTGTTTGTCAACTAGATGAGTTTGAAGAAGTTACTAATTGAGATTCTAAGAGAATAAAGGATAGGAACTGAAAATTGGATTAAGAAGAGGATTTGAACTTACGCGTTAATGACTTTAAGCCACATTTAAAATTTGATTCTTAAACTTTGATTTACTGCCATTGCATTCAGGTCATAATTTAGATGTCTTTCGCACAAATGACTTCCAATCTTGACTAGATATAAGGATACTCAGCTCCCTCTATGAAGCTCTTTTTGTGACATTTTAAAACAATTTTCAAAATTCTAAAATATACCAGATATCCTCATAAATCTCTAAGGTTTGACAAATCCCACAAACTGTTTCGATTTTTCTATTAATTACAACTTGTCCTAAAATCACCTCACTCGATGTTACTAAAATATTCATTTTATTCTGTAACAGATAGTAAAAATTTATTATCAAAAAGAAGTCAAAAAACAGAAGTAAAAATAAGGAAGAAGTTACAATGTCTACGTTAGTCAAGGATCGTTAACTTTTACAATGAAAATTTTACAATTTTTCGCCACTGATGAGAGGAAAGGCTCGTAAAAGTCTTGCCATTTTTATGAGATTTTCTAGAGAAATAAAATAAATTTTTAAGGATGCTGAAATATTTCCAAAGTTCATTAGGATTCAACCGACGATTTCAAGCTTCAAAAGCTTTATATTTTTTTTTGAAGTATGCAAATTTTGGTTAATTTGATAGCTTTGTGGGTGTGCATAGCCTTGAATTATTTTTAAGAAACTTTTTAAGCTTGACCTTAAAATAGAGATAGTACACCCACTGAGGAAGCAGTCAATTCCTATGAAATTATATCGACGCAATTAAATTAAATCAACTTGAGGAATTCTGCAGAATTTGCAACAATTTTACTTCAAGTCATAAAATATCCAATTGCTGCAAATTTGATTTATCTCAGTTTTCGTCTATTCTGAAACTTGATACTGTCAGGAGTCTAATTAATTTGTAAAATTAGCAGGTTCACAAATCAAAAATACATTTTAAAGTCTTCCAGCTTTAAAATCTATAAAGCTTCTACTCAAATATCACAAATCAGTTGTCAAAATAGCAACTCACAGTTATGGGAGTTGGGAAGCAGCTAGCACAATTTAAGAATTTTTTTCACTTCCCCTTGACATTAATTCCTCAGACGTATCAAGAAGAATCTCAATTCATTTTCTGCTGAGACTTTCAAAAAATGATAAAGATGCTCATAATTTAAATTGTGAGAATTTTTTCCATCGCTCAAAAAAATATTTCTCATGTAACTGAATCTTGTTCATAACTTTTTTTAAGGATTATATTTCTCATGAAAAAACTATAACAATTTAATTAGCGATAAAAAAAAATCTCTTCTCATTTAAAATTGAAACAACAAGAAAAGTAAATCTCGAAAGAACAAATCATTTTCAAACAGTGTAGAATGAAAGTTTTATGAGACGAAAAAGTGCTCTTGTGGATGTTTTGAGAATATTTTTTTTGATTACAGCTTGATGATATTTTTAAATACAATCTTAGTTTGAGTTCGATTTGTTTGTGGCAATTTTATAAAATCTAAATAGATTTAATTTTAGTCTTAAACTAAGTTAGAATCTCAACCTTAGTTAAAAACTTAATCTATGTAAGAATCTTAAACTAAGTTACAATCTTAGTCGAAATTAAAATCTTAACCTAAAAAATCTCAAACTTTATTAGAATCTTAAACTAAGTTCGAATTTAAAATTTCTACTGAACACACTTAGTCTGAACTACGGTTTAACTAAAGTCTGGTCTTAGCGCTGGAAGACAATATTAATTTCTACAACTGTTCTTTATTTATCTCTAATTCAAACCTTTGACTCAAATTTTAATATTAACTTTAGGCGCTGAAAAGCAAGATTTCAAAACAAACCAAAAGAAATCATCCACAAGGACAAGAAACACAAAACGAGGAGGAAACAAAATAAAAATTCATTATGTAAGAAATAAAATAAACAATCGAGGCAGTGATTATGTCACATTTTTATGTGAATTGAAAGAAGAAGGAAAAATTTTACGACTTTTAATTTTCTCGTTCTTCGCAAAAATGACATAAGAATGACACACGAAAATGCGAAAAAGAAGAAGGAAAGTCGAATGGAAAAATTTTTCTTATTCATTCGAGGTGAATGAAAATGAAATGTAGTAAAAAGATTTTTAAAGTCACAAATTATGGCGCCTTTAAGGAATTTTAGATGAATCAAGTACAAAGTGAATACAGCATGCAGTTTTAATTTGAAAATTGCACAATACCCGAAAGAAACTTTTTATTTTTTCTGCTGATTCATGAGGAACGAAATTGCAAGCATAAAATTGTTCGCTTTAGTAGCAACATGCTGTATAATTTAAGCTTGCAGTTAATGAATTTTTTTTTTCACAACAATAAACAATAGATTGTCTCAACATGATTCATCTTAGAGCTGCAAACAATCTTGCAAGCAATTTGTGGTATCAAATTAATAGCTATTCATGACTTTTTTGCTGGAAAATTAAGCTTTTCCTTTGTATTGATGAGGAGGAAGTTGTAAAGATAGCAGATTGAATCAAAATTATTATTAGAATTCGCAAGAAAGTCGACACTTCTGTATCATTTACTCCATGATGTTGTCATTGCGAATTTTTACTACGGAAATTGATTTCCAATTGACAGCAAACGAAAATAAAATGGAAAAAATTTTCTTTCCTTTACACTATGGGGCAAAATGAAAAAAAAAGGGACTTTCACTTTGAAAAATGGACTTTTCCGATTTACACTTTTTGGGTGATTTTTTCTTGTAGAGGACATAAAAGTAGATAGAAATGCCAAATTTCAGGTCATTTGGTGCTGATTTCGCGATTCTAGAGCTGTTTGAAGTTGAAAACTAGTGAAAATTCTGGTTTTTTCATACCATGTTTGAACCGGGAAATATCTTAACTGGTTTAAGATATTGCAAAACGGTTTTCAGTTCCTATTAGTAGTATATAAGAGCTTTATTTTGACATATAACAAAGTTTAGGTTCTGAATGTTTTCGTGCCATTATGGTAGAACATATGTGAAAATTTCAGGAAAATTATCTTCAAACAAGCCGCAACTATCATAAATGAAGAGTTTCCAGGCAAGTAAAAACGCAGTTTTGTAGCCCCATATATCTAGTTTTCAAAACTGTATAAACTTTGAAAAAGTAAGCTAACGTAATTGAGTTATGTTGATTTTAGTAGGTCGTTGAGTATTTGGCCAAAAACTAATAATTCTTTTGAAAATACGAAAACATAGTTTTAAAAATAGTTTTTTGGTGTTTTCTTATGAAAAATAACAATTTAAATGATTTTGTGAAGAAAATTTTTCAAAAACTTCAAAATCTTTCGAGATATAGGGGGTATGTGCTCTCCATCGATTTGGCCATTTGTCACCCTACTTAAACCACTATAACTTTTTTTTGAAAAAATATTTTTTAATTCTGTTTTCGGATTATTGTAGCCTAATGTAATACCTATCCAACGATATATAATACTTGCTAGTTAACTTAGTCCTGGTTATTTATAGGGCTGTTGATTGTGACATACGCAGTTTTTGAAAAATTCCCAAAAATTGCATTTTCAAAAATACCACTTTTAAGCAATCTCGAGTATTTTTTTAGAACTTTTTTATGTTTATTTATGACATTTATGAGATTATAAAGCCAAAAAATTAAATTTAGAAACTTTTTACTTCCCTAGTTAACAACTTTGTAAAGTACCCTTGGTAGTCACTATCAGGTGTGAAAATCTCAGTTTTGAAACTATTTTATATATATACTCGTGAAATTCTCTCTACACATCATATCAGTTTTGAACTTCATTGAACAAGTCACTTTCAAAAATGAACCAAAATTCAACACTTACGAAGAAAACACTCTGTGAAATTCTTCGCGACAAAACGTTAAATCTTGCAACACAGCACACGTACTGTTTGGCAGTAATAGAAGAAATTCATGGGAGAGAATTAGCGGAATCACAGAAACCAAGTTTAATTAATAAATTAAACAAGCTGAAGTCAAAGTCAAAAATGTTTTGTAATCAGTCAAATTGGAATAATGCATTAAGAGATCATGCAGATTTCTATGAAGAGGAATTTGAAGTTGACTCACGATACTTCAGCGAATCTAGTGGAGGGATTCTTTTTGAGGAAGAATCTATATATGAAGCAGAAAATGTTACTGACACAGATGAAGATATGGATGAGATTGAATACATCGTCCATGACATAGAGCCTTCATCCAGCAAGGGCATCAAGAGGAAATCATTTGAACAACTAACAAGCGATAAGCATCGACGTAGAAGAGTGGACGAATTAGATATCAGTTTAAAAGAAGCAAAAGGATCATTGTTATCAGTTCTTCACTTGGCACTTCGCCTTTCTAAAGAAGAAGGATAGATATACATGTAGCTCTAGGTGTAAAAGCCTTTAACAATTTATCTCGAAATCAGTACAACAATATTCGACAAGTCCTGAAACTGGAATGCGAAAACGTTTTACCGACAGCTAAAAAATTGTTGAGGTTAGAGAAACAATGCTATCCTGATGACATAACGGTCACCGATACAAGAGCCGTTATTCCACTAAAAAATTTGACACAACTCACCACAAAAAGAGTTATTGAAGCACACAATTCAGAAATATACGACAAAATCAAAATATTACCTTCAGAATCAACTCCAAAAGTTATTCATGCAGAAATGATCGTCACATGGGGGATGGACGGAACAACAGGACAGTCACAGTATAACCAAGGAAAAACAAATTCAAGAAATCAAGAACGAGATAGAACACAACCGAATCAAACGACTAATAATGAAATTATAGAAGACAAATCACTATTGACAGTTAGTATGAGTGTTCAGCAACTACGACATGAAGACGAAAACGGAAATTATATCTGCTTATGGGACAACGAAAACAGTCAATCTGTATACTCAGTACGACCAATACAACTTGAACATGCCAAAGAAACCAGAGTAAATGTTAGAAGGATATATGAAGATATAAAAAATCAAATATCAAAACTTGAACCACAGAGATTCATATGTGAAGACATGCTTTTGGAAATTACGTACAAATTCTACCCCACAATGTTAGATGGAAAAGTTTACACAGACCTTACAGAAACATCAGGATATTGCAGATGTCAGCTTTGTAGATCTGGACCAAACGAGATGAGTGACATAAATAATCTTGATAATGGAAGATTCGAAAAAACACACAGAAAATTTGTTAAAGAACACTTGTATTTCAACACTCAGCCACTTCATACATCAATGAACGTACTCACGACTCTATATGATTTGTCATATAAACAATATGTTCAAAAACACTGGCTGGAGATAACTGAAGAGGAACAGATTGTTTTAGATGTTGAAAAGGCTAGAATAAAGCAAGCAATGTGGGATGCATTTAATGTTCGTGTACTCGAACCAAGACAAGGGGGAGCTGGATCATCAGATACAGGAAACGTTGCAAGAAAAGTTCTTGAAAATCCAGAGCTTCTAGCTAAAACTCTATATCTTAATGAAGAAATAATTAAACGTATATGCTATGTGCTAAACCAAATTCGAAGTTTAGAACCAGTTGATGATCTAGATGAATTTGATAGGTACTGTAAAGAAACATACAGAATGTTTTTGACAACATATAGTTGGTTCAAAATACCAGTAACACTTCACAGAGCACTTGCTCATGCAAAACACTACATGGAAGCCTTACCATTACCTCTAGGAAGAATGAGTGAAGAAGCCGGGGAGTCACAAAACAAATATCTCAGACAAGATAGAGAACTACGTGCCAGAAAAACTTCAAGAATACACAGTTTTACGGATGTTATACATAGAAGACTCTACAGTTCTGATCCAGTAATAATAAAAAAATATATGGATGTAATAAATAAAAGGTTAATGAGAAAAAATGTCCAAGAAGAAGGTGAAACACCTGAGCAACAAACAGAAAATGAGGAAAAAGATGAGGAAGAAATTGAATTGATTGAGCCAGAAGGAGAAGGTTATGACTTTTCCCAAGCAGAAAACTATGATTATTCCGAAGGACAAGACCATGAATATTCTGAAGAAGCAAACAACGAATGAATAAATAAATTTCATTAAATATGATAAAAAAATGTAAATTAAATTTCTTGACAAATAAACAAAATTTCATTAAACTAAAAATTAAACTTTATTAATTTTACCTATTATAGTTGCGTATCAGAGTATTTTTTTTATTACTCTAATGATAATAGCTTTTTTCAGACTTAACATTTCTTAAAAAAGTCCAAAAAATACTCGAGATTGCTTAAAAGTGGTATTTTTGAAAATGCAATTTTTGGGAATTTTTCAAAAACTGCGTATGTCACAATCAACAGCCCTATAAATAACCAGGACTAAGTTAACTAGCAAGTATTATATATCGTTGGATAGGTATTACATTAGGCTACAATAATCCGAAAACAGAATTAAAAAATATTTTTTCAAAAAAAAGTTATAGTGGTTTAAGTAGGGTGACAAATGGCCAAATCGATGGAGAGCACATACCCCCTATATCTCGAAAGATTTTGAAGTTTTTGAAAAATTTTCTTCACAAAATCATTTAAATTGTTATTTTTCATAAGAAAACACCAAAAAACTATTTTTAAAACTATGTTTTCGTATTTTCAAAAGAATTATTAGTTTTTGGCTAAATACTCAACGACCTACTAAAATCAACATAACTCAATTACGTTAGCTTACTTTTTCAAAGTTTATACAGTTTTGAAAACTAGATATATGGGGCTACAAAACTGCGTTTTTACTTGCCTGGAAACTCTTCATTTATGATAGTTGCGGCTTGTTTGAAGATAATTTTCCTGAAATTTTCACATATGTTCTACCATAATGGCACGAAAACATTCAGAACCTAAACTTTGTTATATGTCAAAATAAAGCTCTTATATACTACTAATAGGAACTGAAAACCGTTTTGCAATATCTTAAACCAGTTAAGATATTTCCCGGTTCAAACATGGTATGAAAAAACCAGAATTTTCACTAGTTTTCAACTTCAAACAGCTCTAGAATCGCGAAATCAGCACCAAATGACCTGAAATTTGGCATTTCTATCTACTTTTATGTCCTCTACAAGAAAAAATCACCCAAAAAGTGTAAATCGGAAAAGTCCATTTTTCAAAGTGAAAGTCCCTTTTTTTTTCATTTTGCCCCATAGTGCTTTATTTAGTCATCAAGTTGAGGCAAATTGCGAGGAAAATAAATTTGAGAGGAAATGTAAATTGTAAGTTTGAGAATGAACAAGGTGTTTTGTGAAGAAGTTGATTATTTTGATTTATTCTGTACCTGATTCTTGAATTTAACTTAAATTAAGCTTTCAAATTTTGAAGCTGTTGACAGTTTAATAACATAACATTAGTTTATTCTATTGAGCCTAAATAATATCACTTAGAGAACACTTAAATCTAATAAAATTTATAAATGATGCGAAAACAATTGACGCAAAACTCTTTGAATTTAAAATTTCCGTTACAATGATTTTTATAGAATATATATTTTTTAATGTTTACAAATGCAAATAGAAGTGTTTCACAGGAAATAGAACAAAGAAAGATTCCACCAATGACTTTTCTTCATTTTCCGGAAAGAAAAGCGTACACAAGAATTTTTTATCTCAATAAATAGTGCCTTCATACTCCCACAGATAGATTTATGAAAGAATCCAATTTAATTTAAATGGAGAAATTTCTTAAATCAAGAGTAGAGAATGTAAATGCACGGAAATAAAGCAAGAAAACTTCACAAAGCTATTTGCATTAAAATCAACAGACAATTGAAAAAGACTGCAATTGAATCTTGTCGGTATTTTGTCTTTTGTGATTAACAATAATCCACTCAGACTTTTTAAAGCTAAAGAAATTTGCGTTAGAAAAGAGATGTAAGGATAAAACTTTTACTGTCCCTTTTTTATTGTTCTCTTATCATTTTTGAAGAACTTGAAGAAAATGTGGGCGATAAAAGATGATATAAAGTAAATTTATGACAAAAACGAGGCTCAATTTTCGCTTATTTATTTTACCTTCTGTCCTTTTCTTCTTTCCTTCTCATTTTGTTCACATGCCAAACAACATTTTTCATCATCTGTGAAGTGGAATGGCAAGAAGGAAATGTAGACACATTCGCACACGCTTTAACAAATCTATCCGTTGAGTGTGAAGGAAGATGTAATATTTTACAGGCGAGTCAAGGGGGTTCTAAACTTATCTGAGTGGTGAAAGCTTTTAGTTGTCTGAATGGAACCATAATTGATATTTTTATTCCAATTTTTGATGATTCCGACGGATATTCTCAATATTTCATGCAAGATTCGAACTCAAGGTTGCTAAATTGACGTCAGATCAGAGCTAGATCACTCCCATCTAAGGTTTGATATTCAAATCAGCAAAAAACACTTTGGGCACGAGTTTCTAATGTTAACCCACCGAGAGACCATCCTTACTTACTTACTTCCTTGGCTGGGACGCACATGGGCCCATTGCCGCGTTCAGAGATCGTCTAAAGATACTTCTATCCTTCGAGACTATTACTCGAGCGTCCTAATCAACACATCTAATCCAGGTATTCTTTAAATCAAAATCAACCCTAGAAACCAATCTCAACCACTGATCACCGTCTCCTCAACCCCTATATCAATTAAAACCAAAATAACCATCCTTTAAGCAGTTCCACCCCCAGTGTCAAACAAGAAAAAAATATGAAAAATAGCCCAACACACGTTTGGTGCGCTCAATTTATTCTACAATGCCAATTCAATATAACCCATCCGGTCCAAAAACTCATTGGAATGAGAAATGTAACGAAAAAGTTCATGCTGATTCCGTTGTGATTCATGCAATAACACATCCTACGGTCAAGTGAGTAGAAGATGTATGGATTGAAATCCTTTCCTTTTTATTGAAATTTCATTTCTTTTGTGAATCGCCCAAAGGAATGTTCCAAAGTTAAGGGAATGTAAAGATACGGATGATTCGTTACAATGTTGTAATGTAAAATTGTTGGTGCATAACTTGTCTTTCTTTATTGCTTTTATCGTCTTGTGAGACATGGACTTTAAATTTTTATTTGGAAGACGGATAGAGGGTTGAGAGGTTGATGAAGTGAACACATTAAGGTTGCTGGATGGTGCTTTAATGTTTTATGCAGACATGCTACAGAAAGGTTTTAGTAAATGGCGGGAGAATTATGAGAGCTAAAAGTTTTAAATGTCTGCAAAATCTTCAATTATTGTTCAAACAATATGCAATAATTGATCCCTTGCTAATTCCTGATTCAAACTTTTTCAATAAATTCATTGAATATTTCCTCAACTATCAGTAAAATGCATTCAATCCTCTTCAGACGATAAAACTTTTACCACGGGAATTTGAGGCAGCAATTATCTTGTCATTCATGCTCAAAATTAAATCTTTGAGTTTTAAGCCCACAAATTATTCCATCTTTGAGAGCTATAAAAAGTTTTTAAAACTCGATTGATCATATTAGGAATTCCGGAAGCATCGTCTATAACATGGAATTTACTGTTGCAGATCAATTTATAATAATTGAAAAGAGGAAGTTTTTTATAAAGTCGAACGATAAAGTTTTTCCATTTAAAGCTTTCATTGATCTATTCAAGTGCTCAATTAAGTCTATTTGAAATTTTACATAATAAAGTGCCGAACTGAAATGAAAGTAATCAAACAAAGAATGCGATTGAAAAATGGAAAAGTTTGCTTTAGCTGAAATGAGCTGTCTGTTGTGGTAATATATGGTCATATAAGGCAGTTTGGGTTGGTGAGAATTTTGAGGACTTCAGAATCAATTCATCACTGTTCTGCACCAAGTAGCTTTTGGAGCTCCAGGATCGACCACTGTGATCAGTTCCTTGAATTCATTAAAGCAACTCTTTGTTGATGTTCATGTAAATTTGAATCAATCTATACCATATGCAGTTAAGTGCCTTGCTGGTCGAATAGGTAAGGCGCTTGGCTCAAATTTGGTATGGTAATTCGAAGGTCGTCGGTTCGAATCCAGCCATTTCTAAATTTGTTCCAAGATATATAGATGAGCTCATACAGAGTATACTTGACCATACTCGACCATACTATTTTTTGTGTGCTTATACAAACAAAAATTTTTAAAATTTTCTATTTTCAAGTTTTCATTTAAATATCGACAGATGCAACAACATTTGTCTTAAGTCAGTTTCTTTAAATTATAGCAAAGCATTTGCAATACTCCTGTATCAACAAAACTTAACAGAAAGTTGAAAATTTTGCAAAACAAAAATTGAAAATTTTCTTTTATAGTGTTAGTGTTTTTAGAAGATTCAAATTTTTGACGTTTAAAAACTGCGATATTTTTGTATGAGCACATCTATATATCTTGATTTGTTCTTTTTCAGAAGTTTTGATACTTCGACTGCTTAATGTACGAAATCAAGCCATAATTGGGCATTTTGGGCAACGTTGGATTAGGGAACGGATCAGGAACTTGAAGTGTAGCGGGAGAAATAGGAACGAGAGCTACAAGATTACCTTATAATGGAATAATGTCAGAACGGACCTGAAATGTATCACGTCACGCCCACAGAAGATTAAAACGAGAGCCTGAATTTAATCGAAACCTAGATTTGAAGATTAGAAGCTTGATTCTACGTCACCCGTAGTGATATGAAATGTATCACTAATCAATTTTAAAAAGTAAAACATGTAT